TGTGCTTGTTGATTAGTAGATTTATGAGGTGTTTTTATTTGTTCTCTTGTTATTTTTTCTTCTGTGTGCATATGTGTGTGTTTTGAACTCATGTATGTTATGTAAAAGATAATCGAGCTGGCCAGGAGTAATGTGAAGATATTACAAAGCAAGCTGATGATTGATGTTGGGAGGGAATATAATAGCAGTTTTATGGTATCGGTCTATGAAATGCACATACACAAGAGACAGAAGTAGATGTAAGAGACATCATAACTCTAGGCAATAAAAAATAAAGGCCTAGTATTTGTACCGTGATACAATCCTATCGTATTGGATGTATATGTGTTCATTAACTGCGCCATGTGCGAATGCCTGCACACACAGACTCACATAAACAAAGAAGAGTGAGTAGATGCAAAAGAAAAGGTATAGGATATCATTACACGTACCTGTATGGTATAAACAGAGACACACACTCAGAGTAATCTGAGCCCATTGGAGCTCTTTCAATCAGTGGCGACTCCGTCCTGCCCCGCCCTGATCTCTCTTTGTTTGACTAGAGCAGGAGACTCCAGTGAACAGACTTACATAAGCTCTGGTTTAGTAACACCTACTAGGACTTGCAATTAGATGGCACTTCTACCATGCAACTGTTAAATTAGATCTTGAACTCCATTACATGAGCACACAAAATATCTTTTGAAGTGCATGACCTTTAACGTACAGTAAACTTGCTGTCACACTAAATTAACTTTGTTTTTCGGTTTGCCAAATTTTTTTCAATACTGTTTAATGTTGCCCTGTTAAATATCTTTAATAGTCTGAAACAATGTCCTACATGGCTGCACACAAATACACACTGGCACATGGATACTTGAACACACATATCACATTCTCTAGTGGGTAATGAGTGCTTGCTTAGAGGGTACATTAATTAACAGGGTTCCCAAGAGAAAAGTGTCAGAATGTGAGGTCGACACACACACACACACACAGGACAGACCTGGGTCAAATGGTATTTAGGTAAATGTTGTTTGTTCTAGCTTGCTTGCCAATATGGTTGGGGGTTAAACTGGGGACACACTTATTTCATAGTATTTTTGGGTATTTATATAGTATTTTGTATTTGGTTAGCCAAACACATAAACAGCATTTTGACCAATAAAACCAAATAAAAGATGTAAAACAATAGCCAAATGAAGTTGAGGCTGGGAAAAGAACGTGGGGATGAACACTTGAGACTCTTGCTGTGTGATTTATATAATCACTCTTCAATTAAAACTGACAAGTTAGGCATTGGTGGTATTTATCACCATGAGTAGCACATGACTCAATCAATACAACTATTTTTTTAAACCGTGTTACTGCAGCAGGTCTAGTACAGTATGTAGTAGGAGAGCTCAGTTTTCATTGGAGGGTTTTGGAGTTTCAGTTTCTACCTCCCACACACTCCAGTACCCACACTGATTATATCAAACATGTTTGAGCCAAATCAGAAAGTCTATGGCATGCCCAGACTGGAGCAGAAGTGTGAAGATTGAATCTTTACAAACCTTAACACCGCCAAACAGTCCGAGAAGATGAGTGTTTATTATCAGGGAATGATGGTCAGAAGAGAAAAGTTACTGGTCAGATTTAGGTGGGTGTTTAACTCTTAAGCTATCTCACCCTTCACGCTGATTAAAACTATTTGACTCCGATCTGATCTGATTTGTACACACAGAAAAGGGTGATAAGCATAAGATCTGGAGCAAGATTTCTGGTATTGCTCTAACAGCGTCCAGCTTGTGTCCAGCACAAGAGCTGTCGCCCAAATAGTTCCTGACTTTCTGATTTTGATTCTGCATGAACACATTGAAATCCACACAGTCTCTGTGGGTGTGGCAGACCAACAGCAAATCAGGGCATCCAGATACTGGTGTTAAAGGTGTTACCTTTGTCTTCCCTACATCAGTTTGATGGGGAAGACAAAAAAAACAGGAAGAAGCTTGAAGCTGATGTTGTGCCGTTAAGAACACGCTGACAGATTTATAAGCATTCACTGGGATACCACACATGCTTGGCACACACCTGAACTGTGAATCATGCATGCATGCTTGAGATCAAGGCAAAAGGTATCAGGTGTCTACAAGGTGGAAAAAACGGGAGGGGTTCTGCATGGCTTTTCACTTCTGAAGAGCTTTTTATACCTTAGTCAATTGTGCAGGTGTCTAAACGCCGCCCTGTGAACTGCCATCGATCAGACTTCAGTAAAACAGCAGTTGAACATCATCACAAGTACTCATTTCACATTGCCTCAGATGTCCCATGGATCAGAAAAGTGCAGAAAATTAAACAAAAGTTCTAGAAGTGGTTTTGGGAACAAGAGACACTTTGATACTTTCTTGTGATGTGTTAAATTCAGTGTAAATATGGTATCTAACACTATAAAACAATATTGATTACATTGGACCGTTTAATCACTACAAGAGTACTTCACTTTACATTATGGTTTTGTGTAGTTTACATCACATCTTATAGCCCTCTTTACAACATTATATCACAGATACTGTATCATCTTATCACACATTTGGCCGACTGATAATAGCGTGTCAAAATTGGCTTGAATAAGCTAAAGTTAGCAGTTGACATATTGCAAGTAAAAACGCTGTCCTTTTACAGCAAAACACATTGGTGATGAGTGAAGAGTGGACAAGAGGCAGAACTCTTCCAGACCAGCTGGTTGGCCCAGTCCTTAAGTATGTGTTAATGACACACCGGGAAAAGTTGCATTGCACACTCAGCAATCATTCAGCAACCTAAAGGCATCCAGTCACTTTAAGTACTCCTATAAGATCTTAAGAGCTGCCTTGGATTCTTTGAAATGCCATCATACTTTTATGCAGAGTCATTCTTACAAGCATGGTGCACAGAAACAACAACTTAAAAGGTATGCCATTCCACCATGTAGTGAGGATGATGTCCGGGGTCTACACTGGTGCTTGATATGGACATATCCTGAGGTTAAACATCTCTACCTTTAAATTCCAAATTGTAGCCACAAAGCTCACATTCATAATTAACTAAAACCACCCACCCAAGTACTGTGCTACTGTAATCATTGCCCAATCAGAAATGGCTTTATCCAAAATGTTCAGCAATGTGGGGGGGGGTGTCGGCCTTGAATCAGTTCAGCTCAGCTGGTGATAATCCAAGCTGAAGTCGCTGGGAGGGTTTCTTTATGAGCATTTCAAATGTGTAGTGGAGTATGTCAACCACTGAAGCTGCACCTTCACTCTCCACTCACTCCTGGGTGTGAAAGGATGGGGGCAATGGGGGGTGGGAACTCTAGCTCATAAATCCCCAGTGTGTGCCTGCATGTGTGTGATTGCATGATTGTGCACAGATGGATAGGCAGCAAGGCAGAGGGAGGAGGAAGAGACTGTGGATAAACAAAGTGAAACTCCAGATATTGATCGTACTGCTCTCCATCTCACTCTGTTTATGGTGATTAATGTGTTCATGGCCAGTGGGTTAAAGGCAGAGACAGATATATAAAAGTAAAAAAAAAATGGAGAGAAAAGTGTGACTCCTGCAGAAAAACGTGGAATTCCTCAGATGTCTTGAGGAGAAGACTGGGGAGGCATGCAGAGACTGGTTTCCTCAGTCCTCAGCAGGCAGACCATACCAACATGTGTAGTGTGTAAGTGTATTAAACACAGACATCCATTTGCATTAGCCAAACCATGGCTAGAGGTGTACGTATTAACATGTTCAACATGGGAGGTTTGGAAATACAGCTGAAATATCTTGACTTTGATCATCATGGTCGAGAATTCCACAGAAGTCATCGGAACATCTAAAGTTGCCTTAAGTCTAACCCTGATCATTACCAGTCCAAACAAAGTTATCATAAAGAGCATTTCTTGTCAAACTAAACCCTGATAACTGATCCAAATTACCTAACCCACCTTTTTCTTTCTGTTTCCCAATAGGAAGACAATGAGATCCCTTCCAGCGTGTTAGTCAGGGACTCCCTCAAGACCCCACAACCAAGCCAGTATGATGCAGAATCAACCCTGCCTACTCCATCTGTCACAGGCTCTATTGATGGTAGCCGTGCCCAAGAGGAGGGTCTTCAGACCATTAGCCTATCCTCCGATGAGGATGATTATCTTGCAGAGCACCCTGACAGGGAAGAGATGCTGGATGTTGAGAACGCAGTGGGTTTGGGCACTTCCCACACATTTGAGAGAAGGGCTGACAAGTTCAAGCGCTCCAGCCTGAAGAAGGTTGATAGCCTCAAGAAGGCCTTCTCGCGCCAGAGCATTGAAAAGAAGATGACCCAGATTACCACCAAGATTGTGCCACCAGAGAAGCGTGAGAAAATCAAGAAGAGCCTCACCCCTAACCATCCTAAAAGCCCAACTGCCAAGAGCTCCTCCTTCAAGGTGTCTCCCATGACCTTTAACGTCAAGAAGGTCAGAGACGGGGAGGGCTCCACACAAGATATGTGCTCACCTGGGGCAGAAGCCCATGTGGAGATTCCTGCACTGGGAAGCTTAGATGGAGAGATTCCCTTGGCAGAGGTGCATACACAGGAAGGTGTTTTTGAGGAGATTCAGGAGATTCTGAATCCCTCCACCCCAGATAGCATGAAGGCAGAGCTGGCAATCAATGGAGAGGCACCAAGCATTGAGTGCGAGATCAATGGTGATCGTTGCGCTGGCCTGGCAGTTCCAGAGAATGATGATGATGTTGGCGAGGAGGAGGAGGAAGAAGAGGAACAAGAAAAAGAAAAACACAAAAGCCCTGTTGAAACAGAAGCAGATACCCAGATTCCCACAGCAACTACTGCAACAATTGCTGTAGAGCAAGTGTCTTAATATGATTCAGATTTTAGTGAACATCGATTCTAGCTTACCATTATTTCTTTTCTTCCTAAAGTTCCTACATTTATGAACACCCAGCAGACTCAAATTATCCCTCCATTGTAAACAGTTTTTCATAAAACACCCATATACACTAGAAATATACTCTCGGCTTACTAAGGTTGTCCACCCTTGAACCATTCCTGCAACACTTTGAGTGTCACCAGCATAGTCTAAATACCTGGACTGCCTACGCAACTAGACTTCACAGTATCCCAGAATCCGAATCCAGTGCAAGTGCTTCCTAAACCCTGTAGCAGGGTTGTCCAAAGAAAGCAACATTGCAGCAATGCACCATAACTTACTCCCATCAACTGGAGCCCACCTCTTCAATAGCAGCACATCTCCAGGGCGCTGGGCCAACTATCTCTCTCCTGCTGTGTTTATCTGTCTCTGGAGCTCTTTTCCTCACTGACAGATAGCCTCTTTGTTCTTTGTGGGTTTTTTTTTTGTGAAAAATAGTAAATCTTTGGCTATAGTGGTACTGCCCACAGCCGGTTGAGGCAGTGTGTTGCCAGGTTGTGCAAGAGTTGGAATGGGAAGTTTCTGGGTTTTCAGCAAAAAGGTCCTGGGTTGTTTTGTTGTGAACTACAGGTTGCTTACTGAATTGGACTGGACCTGTGCTGAAAAAGCCCAGATCTTAACTAACAGGTGACTTTAATTTAGTAGTCTGAGTGGTGTTGTCTTGCCTCCTGTCCTTCACCTGAACTTGTCAGATTGTTTGTTACTTCTATAGTGAGCTCCAATTCATCTTTAATGACCTAGTAATTTGTGACTGCCAATTGAGTAAGTAACAATAAACCTCCAGGTGCTGAGAATTAGAATAGATGTCATGAAAATGAATCGAACTAATCAATACCATGAGAATGGTAAAAGGTAAAATTGTTTGCAAGTACCATTTAACATGTTTGTGCTCAATCACAATGATGCAAATGAAGGACATCATTGCGGGATAGAAGCTGCTCTAGATGGCGAGAAAAATAAGTGAGTGACTCAAAGAACAGGTTTTAACACTGACTAACTTTCCCTTTTTGCAGCCCTTTGTCTTTCCTGCAGGGCAACTTTGTATGTTTATGTACAGGAATTATTTTGTCTTTTTCTATGTGAGGCATATTACTCTCTAGGAATTTACAGCTTATACACCATAAATTAGTAACTCTATGATTACTGCCTTGAGTGTGTGTACGTTATACAATAAATGTTGTATATGTGAATTTTTTTTCTTTGAGTTACTATGTGATACTTGGGTGTTTGTAAGCCGTCTCTTTCTTTCAGGTATCCATAACTTGCATGGTGAAATGTTTACTCAGTTTCATGTGTTTAGACATAAATGCTATCGTATACATTTGCCAGGCCACCATCACTTACCCCCCCTCCTCCTATATACATGCACACACATACTCCTACAGTGCCTTTACCTTGCACATGCTGGTATCAGTAATTGCACTCCAGAAGGGATGGATTCCTGTGTTTTGTAGATAAGAGAGCGTTTAAAACAGGCCTGATTTTTTCTCTCTCTCTCTTCTGAGGAATTCCTTGCAGCTGTCACTGTATGAGGCATAGTCAAGAAACAGAGAAAGTTTTAAGTTCGAAGGAGCTGCAAATACATTCACAATCAACTTCATAATTTGAGGTCATGCTGAAAGTTTCTATAAAGTGACCTTCCTCTTGTTGCACATTGTTAGTGCTTTCCCAGCCTAGGTTACAGCTGTCCAATGCCATGACTCCCCAAAAATAATTTAGCAACTGATACCAGGTGCCAAGGATCCAGATACTAGAGAGGTCACAGAAGTGAATAAAGGCAGAGGACAGCATTTCTAGCTTTGACGGATGACTCCTGCTCAGCCCATTTTTCATGCTCTTGGCCTCCTTGTTGAGACCGTGCAAAAAGGGGAAGAAGCTCTCTGGAGCCACAGGTGTTCTGCCCCTGTGGAGGCTCCTGGGCATGAGCTTGTAGTGGAAGGGGGACAAGTGTGGGTGTTGCGAAGTGTTGGAAAGGACTTCAGGTGTTGGAAAGGATGATAAAGTTGCCTTGGGGTTATGCATATGTGCAGCCTGGCAGAAAGGTGTTAAAATTGTGAGAGTCTCAAATGCAATTGAGCGTGGGAACTGAAATATGTTGTGGGGTATACATAATATAATCTAACCTATACCCCACTACATTCATTATACTTTCTTTTAGATGAGGTAAAACAATGGATTTTTAACTTCTTTAACTACTTCTTTAATTCTTTAACTCAAAATATAGTGCCCTAAATATGTTGATGTCCTAACTATGCAAGAAAATGACTTTATTGAGGTCTAGTGGAAACAGGAGAAAAGCCGTGCACATGAAATAGCAGAAATATTTTCAACAGTAGTTGACTTTAAAGCCTTAGAGTCCTTCATGCCTTACAAAAATGAACATTGTTCAGTGGGATCTTTAATAAATAATTTGACATACATGATTTTAAATAACTTTACGTTATCTTTGCTTAGTTATTCTGAAGATTTTTTTTCTTTTGAATTCTTTTTTGTATAAATCATCTTACTGAAAAGGGATTGAATACTAGGCTCGTGTACCTTCTGTGTACAGTAGAGGTTCAAATGTGACTGCCTTTAAGGTATTTTCTGCTTATTCGTGCAAATGTCTGCTGATTATAAACATGTAATAGGCATATCTAGATTTGTGTATGTGTGTAAAAGTCTGTTTTTATTTGTCGTGAAATCAAACAGTTAAATTTTGGATAATATATGAGAAATTTTTTTGTTGGAAAGTTGAAACTCCACGTTTACTACAGCGTTGTCAGGTAGTGTTTAACATCATCTTTGTTCATACAAAGTTTTTACTGTCATGGCCATTTAGTTAATAACTTAAACCAAAGACGTTTCCATCACAGAAAAAAAGATTCCCTGCCACTTGAGTGTTTAAATGTACTCCTGACACTTGTTTCAAGCATCTTGTAAACATGCAGGCATTTCCTTTTAAAAATGTAGTATTGTATACATCAATAAAGATTTTATAACATTCAAGTTTTGTGTGGGGTGTTTATTTGCAGTATGTCAGGTTAAATGAATGTCACTGCACATGAATTAGATAATAGTAGTTAATGTTCTGTGCGTCACTGCCCAGTGACTCGCGTGCTTGACCTTTAGTGCCCAAGGAAACATGTAGTTAACGTTTTGGTGTGCTTATGCCACTGCCAGTTTGGAGATAACTGTAGGTCACAGCATTGTAATCTAGTGAACCAAAATGTAGGAAACAGGGTAGTGGAGGATTAACCTCGGTGGAGGGAGTGGTTCGATAGCTCAGCCCTTCTTTACATAGCACGGTTTGTGGATTGAGAGTGGTCTATATAATGAAGATCAAATGTGTTGGGATCAGAGCCGCAATAAAGACTTTCACCGATATTTGATCACATACCCTAGCATTGTCTATCCATCCAAACAGCTTTAGTGTTAATTTCCCATTATTTGATGTGTCTGTCTTTTAGATTTCTGCCTTCACCTCCACCCCTTTCCAATAAAGGTGGGTGGAATTAAGTTTTGGTGCTATGAAAAGCTGAAAAACACTTCACAAAGTGTCTGAGTAATACTTAAAACACACCTTAAACTGTTTTTATTGGACTTTCTACAGAAGACACGGTCCCTATTGTTCTAGCATGATCTGTGGCGTATCCAGAGTAACAGGACACGTTTCCATTCACCTCCATTGTATTTGGGTAGTGGCAGAAATCTCAGGTAGTTTGCATTTAAGACCCAGGAGTAACGTTAATTTGGCTTTGAATATTAAAACTGTCTGCAAGCATGTTGCAAAGAAACACACACAAAAGTGAAAAGACGACTATTAAAGTAAATGCCGGCCACATGAAGAACACACAGGGAGTCAAAACTGAGAAAGGCAAGACATGATGTGAAAACAAGCAGAGCAGCAAAGGTAAGGACATTTGTTTCACATCCAGACACTGCAAAACGATCAAAACACATAATAACATAGTAGTGTTGAGGTCTTGTGTGTGTGTTTTAGTAACATATTGTAACGTTATATGTTGCATTTATCGAGTTATTCCAACGTGTTGCCGTAAAAATACCTCCGAGGAGGGTTTTTAATCAACTTCCGTGGGTGAGCCGAGGTGTTTCTATGGTGTTTGTCTCCCTCCCATGTCCGAACCCGCGCTAACACCTTGTGCTTCTTCTACTACACCATCCATCGTCATTACCGGTGGCACAGCTACAACAAGCTACCACAAAAAACATACAAATATTTATTCGACTCATTTTCTGAAATACAAGGACAAACGCACCCTGAACTAACGTGTGAGTGATATCATTAAAATGATTCTTCATGAG